TTTGGGAGAAGGACACAAACCGGAGACTTGTAGTCACTGCGCGAAGTTCTCTAATCAAACCAAGAAGAATCGCGCTGCTAGGTTAAAGGTTGCGCTTTTAGAGTCTGCCCTTCACCCGCCGTCAACCATGGAGGACTTACCCACTACATCAAAAAAATCGATCGATGCCGACCGATCGACGTCGAAAAAATCAACGTCGAAGTCTGTTACCTTGGATACGTCTACAGAGCCTACTAAGACTAAAGGTACAAAATCTGCTACTGCCAAACCTCCTAAGTCGACGCCGGGACAGTCAAAGAAGGGTAAGCCGAAACCGTCGGACGACATTTTGTTGCAGCCCTCTACACCGAAGGCGTTGTCGATACCGGAGCTTCCACCTCTGACTACATCCTCCTCTGGTCTCTTGGCCTCTCCAGTACGCCAACAGGAACCAGATCCGGTCGACATCGATACGGCGGATCTCATAAGTCGTCCACGGGGCGCAGAGTTCTCCCCCGCTCCATCTCATTCATCGATGTCGACACACTCGGAATCGATCGAAGCCGGTGGCCATCGGCATCGAGTGGAGTCTGCCTTAGAGCGTCGCCCTCCATCTACCTTTTTACATCCCATCGATATCGATGCTCATGGTTACCGACGTTCCTCTAGAGAACATGATGTCTTACGTTCTCCAAGACGTTTTAGGACCAGAAGTCGCTCTCCGGATCCATATAGACCTCCTCTAACTTGGGATGAAAAGCAGATGAGGTACTTATACGGGCCCTATCATCCTCCCATGCCATGGCTCACGCCTGCAGTGTATCCGGATTGGGACTGTTATTCCATGCGCTCTGGCCATAGATCTCGTTCGCCCATACGATCACGGCCATCTGCAACAGTGTCACGTCCACCTCCATCGGACCTCTCTACGATGGAACCAAGACCGCCTCCACTGGAATTGGAGACTCAGCCAAAATCACCCATTGCTCCACCAACGGTTCCTATCCCTAAGGTGCCGATTGTTCACATAACTCCACAAACAGAATCGGAGCAAGATTCCTCTGATGATCCAGGACAGAATTCTGACACTGATACTTCTGTGATACCTACATCACCAGACCACAAATCTCCGACTCCAGATGTGGCGCACGATTTGCCCATATCTCCTTCGGACAATCTCAATTCTTATACGGATTTGATTAAGAGGATGGCGACTGCTTTAAACCTTTCCATGGCTCAGGATCATCCTCAATCCACAGACTCACTTTATGACGTGGTACAACAGGACGCCTCTTCAGTAGTGGCACTACCTATGTCCTCTGTTCTGCTAGATGCTGCGAAAGCTCCGTGGAAGAATCCGTCCTCTGCTCCGATATCTTCAAGGAAGTTGGATCATATGTATCGGATTCAAGATGCAGAGGCATGTTTTTTAATGACACACCCGAATCCGAACTCCATGGTCGTTACTTCGTCCTCTAGATCTCGTAGGACACACACTGCACCATCTGATAAGGAGGGCCGTAAACTAGATGCCTTTGGACGTCGTTTCTATTCCTCTGGAGCTCTAGCAGTCAAACAGGCAACTTACTTGGCTTGTATGGGTCGCTACCAATATTCCCTCTGGGAAAGGTTTACTGATCTGCTTGCTGACCTTCCGGATGACAAGCAACACCAAGCTAAGGCTCTTCAAAGGGAAGGCATGCTTGTATCCAAACAACAGTATTTCTGATGTGCTCATGTGTCCTTATAGGGGTCCGTTATCTATTTCCTTCATTTATACTCCACTTCTCTCCCCAAAGTGGCTTACAACAGTCTTCCCATCTACATTTTATCCTCCCAACAACCCTGTGTGGTAGATTAGACCAAGGGTGATTAGCTCAACATCAGCCAGCAAACTTCCATGGCTGAGCAGGGATTCGAACCCAGGTCTCCCTGATCCTAGCCCAAGACTCTAATCACTACACCTTGGTGGCTCTTTTCCTCTTAGAAAAGGCACTCCTCCCTTCTCTGGTATAACTTATAGGAGGAAAGAAAGCAGAGCTTGCCCTTAGCATTTTTTCCAAGTATGTATGTTAAAGCACTGACTTGGATAACCCAATCTCAGAAGTTAACTAGGGTCAGCCCTGGCTAGTATTTGAATGGGAGACCACCAGGGACTACCAGGGTCATGACATGGAAGCAGACAACGTCTCTTGCCTTGAAAACCCCAGAGGGTCGCCATAACTCAGTTGTAACTTGATGGCAAAAAAAAAAAGTGTGCTTAGAAAGCATTTTAAAAATAAATGATATCACCTATTGATTTGTCAGGCCGTCATTTTAGTAGATCAGATTTTTTTTTAATTCAGTCTTAACTGACTGAGTAAATGTTTTCGTCCTATTAAGCAAATTCGAATGTTATTTTTTTAAATACAAGTGTTTCCAAAAACCACTGGGCGTCAAATATCATTGCAGAAGAGAGCCCTCCTAGTGTTTACAAGAGCTTACCAAAACACCAGGTTGAAATTACCAGTTTGGAAGAGGCAGTCCTTTCTGCACACCGAAAGAAAGGGGAATACGTGCCCTTCCAAAAACCACCAGGAGGGGATGCACCATGTTAGAAGAGGCAGTCTAGCTCCCTCTCTCACTGAGGGGAATGCCTCTTCCAATAAGATGCCTGCTGCGGTACAGTTAAGCATCTTTTGGAAAGAAAGGGCGCACATTTTTCTTCAGAATGAATGGACTGGATTCTGTGCTTTGGTTCTGCTTGCGGAAGTGATGTCTGACGGAGACTTGGGGCCCTTCTGGCATAAGGGAGAGAAGTCTCTTTCTACCCAATGAGAATATCTCTGAGAGAAAAACAGCCACGGGATTCAACCCAGGTTTCCCCCACAAATTTAATCTATTGAGTTAATGGATTGAGATTCAAAAATGATTCATCAGCTAAAATTTCTTTAATCTCTTGCTGTATCACCTGCCTTCTTTGGGCCCAGTGATTCATGCATGCTTCAAATCATTATGAGACCACAAACAAAGGGCAGAACAGATGAGACACAATCTTTGCCTTTTTTTAAAAGCAAGTTTCTAGTCCCCAAAGGTTGTGTAGATAGGTTTGAAAGTGTGTGTGTGAGAGAGCAATGCCTGATGAACTCTGAGCAACCAGAGCAAGGCTCCCAGCAGCCAAAGGACTGGGCCTGGCAGAATCTGAACCAGCCATTTCAAACACAGCCATCTGTACTGGTCTGCTTAATTAACATAGCTGCAAAATCTGGGTCCCTGTGATGCAGCATTTTTTGTGCACGTGTGCCAAGTAAATAGCAGCTGGAGGGGGGCAGTCTAGGTCAGGAAAGTGGCATTGCTGAGCAGCCCCTGTGAGAGCCAGTTTGGTGTAGTGGTTAAGAGCGCGGACTCTAATCTGGGAGAACCGGGTTTGATTCCCCACTCCTCCACTTGCAGCTGCTGGTGTGACCTTGGGCAAGCCGTAGTTCCGATAAGAGCTGTCCTTGAAAAAGAGCAGTTTCTGTCAGAGCTCTCTCAGCCCCACCTACCTCATAGGGTGTCTGTTGTGGGGAGGGGAAGGAGTTTGTAAGCTGCTCTGAGACTAGGGCGGGATATATAAATCCAATCTCCCCCCCCCTCCCATTCAGATTTTCCGATTGTCTCCCCCTCTCACAGCTAAACGAAAGAGTGGGAGCCAAACTATTTATTCCACAGGGAGAGCCATGTATGGCAATGTACTGTTGATAAATACTCGATTGTAAGATTTTGTGTCCTGTCTTTAGTCATGAAAAGCCACCGGCAAGTCATAGCCGACTTACGGCAACCCTGTAGGGTTTTCAAGGCCGGAGACAAACAGGGGTGGTTTGGCCATTGCCCTGCCTCTGCATCGCAACCCTGGACTTCCTTGGTGGTCTCCCCCATCCAAGTACAAACCAGGACTGATCAGGCCTAGTCTGGGCCCTCCACGTCAGGGCAGGCCCATCTTTCCAGTAATGCAAGAGATCTGTGTTTCCCTGTATATTATATCCTGCTCCTGTATTTCAGGACCCTCTGTTGTTCAGATTCAAAAATAGGAAGAAAAAACGAAAAACCCGCAGGGGGATCCATGACTGGTGTGTCGCCCCCCCCCCCAACTAAATGCAGCAGCCTATCAACTGGGGAATGGAGGCTGGGGATGGAGTGTTTAACCCCTGTCCTGTGCTGTTTTCCCAGTTTAAACCACACACAGGTTACTGTGTTCTGTGTAGAGGAAGACTGGTGCTGTATGGAAACACCTCTCCCTGCCCCCAAGTAGTATCGAGGGGGCCATCTAGGTCAGGATAGAATGGCAATGGCCCCTGACCTGGGTGGCCCGGGCTATCCCGACCTCACCAGATCTTGGAAGCTAAGTGGGGGTTGGGCCTTGGTGAGTACTTGGGTTGGGAGACCAGCCAGGGGAGTCCAGGGGCAGGCACTGGGAAACCAGATGTTATTCTCTTGCCGTGAAAACACACAAAGACCTCCATGACTTGCTCTGACTTGGCAGCACTTTAAACACACACACACACACACAGTGGCATTAGGGGTGGTGGAGGAGATTGGATTTATACCCCACCCTTCACCACCTGAAGGAGTCTCTGAGCAGTTTACAATCCCTTTCCCTTAAACCCCCCCCCCACAACAGACACCCTGTGAGGCAGGTGGGGCTGAGAGAGCTCTCTCGAGGACTTCCCTTGAGAGAACAGCTCTGAGAGAGCTGTGACTGACCCAAGGTCACACCAGCAGCTGCAAGTGGAGGAGTGGAGAATCAAACCCGGTTCTCCCAGATTAGAGTCTTAACCACTACACCAAACTGACACTCCCTGTTCAAATTAGCTGCCCTACCCCAGCTGCATTTACTCTTTTTTGTTGTTGTTGTTCTTGTAAGGACAGCCACCTGTGTAATTACATGTTGGCCTTTGTACTTCCCTGGTTATTTCCTTTGCTGTTGTTTCTGCATGTTACCTTTCAGAAGGGGGGAAATGACCCATGCATTTTCCTTTCTTTCTCTCCCCCCCCCCCCCCCTGCATTACAGCCCTTCCGTGATCACCTCCCTGGATGAGCAGGACACCCTGAGCCACTTCTTCCAGTACCGTGGCCCCTCTCCACATTTCATGAACCCCCTCGCTCCTGTCGTGGTGGGATCCCACGGCA